TAGAATTTTTGCCAGTATTTAGAGTTAAAAAAACAAAATCTAAAACAAAAATTGGTCACATACCTGGTGCCATAGTAATTACCAGCATATTCACCCCATTCAATCATTTCTTTATTTTGTATTTTTTGCAACATTTGTTCTTTATTCAAAAAATAATATTCTCTGCCTTCTTGTTCACTTGGTTTTGGAGATCGTGATGTAACTGGAAATATTTTTTCTTCTACGTTATATTTGCACAGATGTAAGTGATAAGGTTAATGTGATTTCGGTTATTTCTGTTGATTCTTTACATCAAATTTAGGCATTGGTGTTAGCATTGATAACAACAAAAAAAAATTTACATGGAGTTACTGTGGAGAAATACTGTGGTGAATAGGCCAAAAGCATTGATTTTATTGTTCGTCTACCGACACCGGGAACGCCGAGCAGTACCAAAACTCTTCGACCGTAAGGAGTCAACATACCGACTCGTTCAATTGTTTGCTTTGAAGGCACTAAACCAACTCGGGATACATCGTTAACTTTCCTCGCCTACAATTTACTCAGTGCTAATAACCTTTAATCAGTTATATTGCTTCCTCTCCTCTCCCCCATAAAAGAGTAACCAAAAGAACTGTCTGGGAGAAGAAAAACCTTTTTTAATTGAAGTGTATTCAGAAAAAAAAGAATTTCTCTTTTCCTTTTACTTTTTAACTGTAAAACTGTTACCTGTAGCCATTCACCATTGTTACATATCACCTGTATAATTTCGCCCCTTTTAACGCTTAAACCAGCCCATTTGTATGGCAGTGTTTGGTCATTATCCGCATCGTAATCGCTAAGCACTCGATAAAATACCTAGAAAAGGTAGCCAAAAAAAAGCATCTTTGCCTTTTTTTCTATCTTTTTACTTTTTTGACAATCAAACTAACTGACTGTCTCGTAAAATTTATTCAATTTTAAATGATGACAAATAATACTGCTTTCTTTGTTCGTTCTTTTACTTTCTCTTTTTTTAACATCTGGTTTATGTTTAAGAGAGTAAATTTTGTAGGAATTGAATAAAAAAGAAAGCAGAGATCAATACAAAATTGCCAACCAACAAAAAAAAAAAAAACAGTTTTGTTGGTAAACTATAATTTGTAGCGCTAAGAATTGTTCAATCAAAAACATTTGGGCTATACAAATTAATTGTGAACAAAATTCTGAATCAATTGCATATCAAAAAAACGTTTTCAACTGCTAAGCCGTAAAAATTGTGAGGAACAAGTATGACGAATTAATTCTTTTAATCTGCCTACTATTTTTTGTAAAAAATTTTCTTTTTTTGAATTTAAAATGCATCAGTATTTAAAAAAAAACTTTGCTTTATCATAAAGCTTAAAGTTTAACGTTTGTTTTGTTAATGTTCTTCTTTGTTTTCTTCTTGACAACGTTCTTCTTCAGAAAAACCGTACAGATGGAGCTTGATGAATTGGTGTTGGCACCAACTTCAGCGACAAATTACCCTTCATCAGTCTAAGTTCTTTGACTGCTGGTACTGGTTGTCCGTTGACTTCAACGATAGTATCACCAGCGTGTACGTCCTAAAAAAAAGAAGAGTTTAAAAACTAACTAAAAAACGGTTTATCTGATTATCAAACATATCAGTACTTTGCCTCTTCTATGACTAACTAATGAAAAATTTTATGCATATTCTTGAGTTATTTCTTGAACTTTTTTTTACTTTACCAATATTTTTTTCGTTAAATTATACAAAAAAATCTTAATTTTATATTTACTTTTACCTTTATTTATTTGTTCCCTTATTTTTTTTTTTTTTTTTGGACAACCTCAGAACAGTGCAGCTTTTTTTAACAGTAAAAAACAGAGATGAAGTAAAATAGAGCAAAAACATATTGTAACTTCTGAGAAATCTTCGGTATTTTTATTGGTAAACAACAAAAATTAATTCTGTAATAGTTAAAATTACCCAAATCTTTGTCTTACCATTTTTTTTTTTTGCAGCAACAGCACCAACAGCTCTAAAAACTAGATCAAAAAGCTTTATCGGAAGTATGATAAATATGCTCTGAAGTATAGTGTTGGTTTAAAAGTAAACAGAAGAAAAAAGCAGTGTGATAATTAGGTGTTGATCTTACAACTATATAACACGTAAATAATTCTAAAAGACAAATTTTGACTACAGTTTCAAGTTACAAAATTGTTCGACGACCTATGGTGTGGTAATAAGCCTACTTTATTTTAACCACAAATTTGGTTTAAGTAAAAAGTTTTGGTTGCCATATGATGCATACAGCCAAAAAAACTGTTCAGCAGTTTCTTAATTTTTATTACTTTGTATTTTGTCGTTGGTTTAGCAGATTTTCTGAACATCACAGATGTCATTTTTGACTTTCTTAACTGTATTGATGTTCTGTTGTAATTATCAGTGAAACAGTTTAACAACAATGATATGTTGACACTTTCTCAAAAATCTATTCGATATTTAGTCAGTCTAAAAGCAAAACAGATTTAACAACCAATACAGATTAGCTGTTTTTTCTTCATCACTCAAAAATTATCATGAAAATTTTAAACAGCCAAATATCAACGATTGATATGCGATCTGTTTTGATGTTTGCCCAATGCACAAATATCAAAGCATCTTTTGCTTTGTATTTTGTAGCCTACTAAAATTACACTTTTCTTTATAGACTGTTCCTTATTCCATCTCTTCTTTCTTCATTACTGTTTGTAAATTCAAAAATAATGCCGTTTTCAGTGAATTAATAACCTAAACATATAAATATCAAACCTATCTATCTTCTCCTCTTATTTCACTTTGCAAAAAATAGAAGCAGAAAAATGAAACCACAGTTTTTTTTTTCGATGATTGCCTTTCACCCTTAACAGTGTTTTTTTTTTTTTT